GGGTGCCTATAGTCCCAGCTACTTGGGAGGCTGAGGCAAGAGAATCTCTTAAGCCCAAGAGTTTGAGGTTGCTGTGAGCTGTGACACCATGGCATTCTATCCAGGGCGATATAGTGAGACTCTGTTTCAAAAAAATATAAAAATAAAAATAAGCTCGGCACCTGTAGCTCACTGGCTAGTGAGCCAGCCACATACACCAATATACTGGAGCTGGCTGGTTCAAATACAGCCTGGGCCTGCCAAACAACAATAACAACTACAACAAAAAATAGCCAGGCATTGTGGTGGGTACCTGTAAGTAGCCTCCCAGCTACCGTACTTGGGAGGCTGAGGCAAGAGAATACTAAAGCCCAAGAGTTGGAGGTTGCTGTGAGCTGTGTCGCTACAGCACTCTACCCAGGGCAACAGCTCGAGACTCTGTCTCAAACAAAAACAAAAACAAAAAACTCTGATATTTTCCTTGTATAGTATAATTCTGTCTCTTGCAATCCAAATTTACATACTATAAATCCTTCCTTCTTTCCTTTCCTTCCTTCCCTCTTTTCTCCCTTTCCTTCCTCCCTCCCTCCCTTGTCTTTCTTCTTTCCTTCCTTCCTCTCTCCCTTCCTTTCTTTTTTCCTTTCTTCTTTCTTTTTTTAATGATGAAAATCTCACCTGTGCAATTTAGGTAATGGTAGTTTAAAGTAGTCCATAAATGAGCTATTGGCTTTGGGCAGGGCCAGCCGCAGTAACAACATGTTCAAGCAACAAAATGAACAAAAAGAACCCTTGGAATGCACCTGGTTGTTCAAAAATAGCAGGTGGTTGTTAAAAAAAAAAAGACTCTAAGGAATTCAAATTTCTCTTTAAGGATTTTGTTGCTATCCTTCCTACAAAAATCACCCAGATTACTGCTTGATCTCTACTCTGAGAGCAGAGAAGTCTTGCTATATGATATTAGCTCAGTACCGCTGGAGCTTCCAAGTATTTCTTATCTGAACAGTATATCCTAAGTACTGTAAATCCTGCATTGCTTGCACTTTTGAGTTTATTCCATCCCTGGAGTACAATATATATTCTTTAAGTTTTTTTTTTTTTTTTTTTTAAGAGACACACTCTTGCTGCGAGTACCGACCCAGGCTGGAGTACAGTGGTGTGATTATAGCTCATTGTAACCTGTAGCTGCTGGGCTCAAGTGATCTTACCACCTCAGCCTCCCAAGTAGCTAAGACTAGAGGCAGGCATAACCATGCTCAACTTATTAAAAAGAAAGCTTAAAAAAACAAAAACAGAATCTCACTCTGTTGCCCTGGGTAGAGTGCCCTGGCATCATAACTCATAGCAACCTCAAACTCCTGGGTTCAAGCCATCCTTTTGCTTCAGCCTTCCGAGTAGCTGGGTCTACAGGTGTGTGCCACCATCTATTTTTAGCAGAGACAGAGTGGAGGGGTGTCTCATTCTTGCTCAGGCTGGTCTTGAACTCCTGAGCTCAGGCAGTTGTCCTGCCTCAGCCTCCCAGCATGGTAGAATTATAGCCAAAAGAAAGTTTTTTTTTGTAGACATGAAGGCTCACTATATTGCCCAGACTGGTTTCAAAATTCCTGGCCTCACACAATTCTCGCACCTTGTGAGAGCCACCACAATGTATATATTCTGGCCTACTTTATAAATTCTTTACATAAATTTTCCAGCAGAAAAAACATTAAGGGTATGGGTTTTATTTTTTTGAGACAGTATCATTTTGGCACCTTTAGTAGAGTGCTCTCGGGTCACAGCTCACAGCAACCTCAAACTCTTGGGCTCAAGTGATTCTCTTGCCTCAGCCGCCACAGTAGCTGGGACTACAGGTGCCCACCACAACGCCCAGCTATTTTTATTGCTCAGGCTGTTCTCAAACTGGTGAGCTCAGGCAATCCACCTGCCTTGGCCTCCCAGAGTGCTAGAATTACAGGTGTGAGCCACTGTGCCCTACTATAGGGTATGTTTTAAAATTATACACACACACTCCTGTAAGCAATAATTGAAATTTTAAAAATATTATATTTGTGATTGTCACACTGTCCAAGGCATATAATAATTTGAAATTATTTTTAGAGAATCTATCATAGACCAAATAAGTATTTCAGACAACCTAGGCAATTGTTAAAATTCTTTTTAGAAAGAAGGTAGGTAGCCCTTCATGGTGGCATGTGCCTGTAGTTCCAGCTCCTTGGGAAGTGGAGGTGGGAAGATTGCTTGAATCCAGCAATTCCAGGCCAGACTGGCAATATAGAAAGACCCTATTTCTAAAAAATAAAAAAGAAGAAGGTAGTAGGAATTTATGCTTAGGGCCCAATATACCACCAATGGAAGCCCAGGAACAGTTATTAAGCCTATTAATTTCTAGTATGATAAGAACAGGGATGCCATTGTATCAATCACGATGATTACTAAAAACTGTAAACTCATTTAGGTCAAACACAAAATTGTAAACTAAAGTTGTTTTGACTCAAACCTTAATTTGAAAATTTCCATTAATATATTAGTTTACAAGCAATTATTCAGAATCCATTAACTGCTGAACACTGTTTTATGCACTGGAGTACAAAAATGAGCAAGATATAAAATCCCTGCTCTTAAGGAGCTCATATTTTTAGTGAGAGGTGTCAGTTTTTGTCTCCTCGCAGGTATTTAAGATACAATTTTCATATACGGTTACAGGGAATAGAACGTTCGAGAACCTAAAGAAAAAAAAGGAGCATTAGTTGAGGATTTCAGAAGTGGATTTGTACTGTATATGTACTAGGAATTGTCGGTTGAGTTAGAATTTCAGAAGTATCTGTTTAAATCTGTATTGTTGACACTATAGTGAAGGCAGTGAAACCTGCCCACAGATGATTAAGTTTTATGGTTGATTTCCACACTTTTGTAGGTTGGGAAGAATATCAAGTTTCTGGGAAAAACATCCTGTCTCCTCACCTCCATCATTAAACCAAGGTCTTCGCCTGTTGGGGTTAGTTGTCCACCGTATAAAGATGTATCACAATCATCCCCTCCCCCCATTTTCCATGTATCAATGTGAGAAGAACTACTTCAGCTTTTTTTATTCTTCTTGGGTGTACAGCGCTCCGATTCTTAGTTATTATACATATTTTCCACAAAGAAAAGTCAGTCGCTACTTTCTCAGTTCCCCAGACCACCGGTGAGTGGTATTATTTCTGGGTGAGCGGAGCACCGTTTACAAGCAGCTGGAGGAGGGATACAGTCCCCAGATTATTGGCTTTCCATTGACTAGTCTTTTAAGAAAGCGGCACTGTTCCCACGGAAATTAACGGCCATTCAACTCAGAAAGGCTGGAAATGTTAAGGCTGAAGTGGAGGAAAAGAAAATTGGATTGTTATGGGTTGGGTTACTATTTGAAAAAGGCAAGTGGGAGTTAGTGAAGGGTGCTAACCTGGGACTTTATTAAACCACTCATTAAAACTACACGAAAACTTGTGCTGGCCCCCAAAGAATTTTCTTGAAAAACCAAACTTCAAACAAAATTTAGGAAACGCGGAATCACTATGAATTCAACGTGTGTTCTTACAAGACCACCTCCTCTGTCATCTCAAGCCAGAAACTGGGTACAGGTGTGAGAATTCTTCTCTAAAAAGCAGTTTTTATAAAACTATTTTTCCACGCGGAACAGGGCACTCTAAGAACTTCGAGGTGGGAAGCACGCAGCTTTCTCCCCCGGCTGTTAACCTTTCTGCCTTTCCCATCCCGCCACTCCCCCCGCCGCCCCCCGGCCGCGGCCTCCAGCCAGGGGGCGTTTGTTTATGTGACGTCCGCCGTAGTAAGCTGTCCCCGCCCCCGTTTCCCGCTGGCCGCCGCGTTTCCCGCGCCGCGGCGCTTCTCCCCTTAAAAGGACAATAGAGGCCGCGGGAGCGCGCGCGGCCGCCGGGCCTTCTCTCCTCCCAGCCCGCGACGCGCGCGCACCCTATGCAAATTAGTTCGATTCAAGAGAATTTTGTACCGGGAGCCGCGCGTGCGCAGAGGGAAAGCGGAATCTACACCTTCCCGGCCAGCGGTAGCAACTGCAGAACTGCAGGAGACAATCTTTCTAGACAAGGCAGTTGAGGAGGAGGGAGCGCTTGGAGTGGGGGGTGGGTTGGCTTGGCGTGCACTCCGCACCTCGGCAACGCTATTGCGCGTGGAACGGCTGCTTTTGGTAGGTGAGTGACTGTAACTATTACTCTGGTGCAGAACTGTCTCACGAGGCTTTGATTTCCGAGTGTTTTTTTTTTTCCTCGTTTCACCTCACCCACCTCCCCCCCACCCGTCTTTCCACACAAACACACACACACAGGAAGTTTGGTCGTGGCGATGGCATTGCTGGGAGCGCTGTTTCCGCGACCCCAGAGCCTTCGGCAGACGCACGTTTGGTGTGTGTTTATTAATTGAGGGGATTTGGGGAAAACCGAAAGTCGTGGGGTCGGGGAAGTGAGTGGAGCGGGGAAATAACTGAGGAGTTGCGGGGGCTCCACGGTGAAGGTGACAATGACTTTTCTTAGCCGCAGTGCTCTCTCGCGTAGGAGAGCCCGGTGGCCGAAAGGCCCGAGGGGCAAACGACTTGCTGGCGACGGCGGAGCGGCCGGGGGTCGCCGCGTCCGCGTGGGCGCGCGCCCCGGGGAGGGTCGGGCGCCGTTGTTACGCCTCGTGGTGTGGTGGCTGCAGCCCCCCGCGCGTGTTTGGATGAGGGTGGACAATAAACGCCATCTGCTCGGAAACGGACTTGCCGTCCACTGCCGAGCCGGCGTGAGGGGTTTAAATGGGCCGGCGGGGGTCGGCGCCGGCTCCGCCGGGGCGCACGCGGCGTGGCGTTGTTTGCTCAACTCCGGAGGGATGCGGCTGCGACAATGAGAGCAACACGCGGTCGCCCGGCAGCGGCCCCGGCTTCCAGGCGCCTGCTCTGCGCGGACCGCGCCCTAGCGCGCCCGGGGTCCCGGTGCCTTCGGAGCGCCAAGTTTTGCTCCCCGTCCGTTCACCTGTGGCGTAGGTGTGGGCGCCGCGGCGAGGGCGTCCTACTTCCCGGGCGCCCGGCGGCGGTTTAAGATGGCCAGTTGGGCTAAGTTGAGTCGGGGATGGAGGCGGCGGCGTCGTCTGCGCTGCAGGAGTGAGTGAACTCCTGGCCACTGCTTTTTGTGCCGTACATGACAGGCCACGTGCTCCGGGCTGCGACCCTGGTCCGGGTCTGAATGTCCGGCTCCTCGTTAGCTGTAGGATGCGGTCGCCGTCCGGTAGGTCCGGCCGGCAGGACAATGTGATTTGCTGATGATGGCGTCTTGCCAGTTTAAAAAGCAGAGTGAAAGTCGCCAACTCCGCCTGTGCGGGGCGGGTAATCCGGGCGTTTCTCATCAAGGACATTGCAAAACTTTGATTAAATGGGCCCTCTGCCGAGGGGAGGGCCGCGGGACCGGGCTCCGGGCTCTCGGGGCGCGGGGTCCGGACCCTCGCCCGGGGTGATCGTCCAGTGTCTCGCCCTGAGAAACACTCGACATCCCTGATGCTGCACGTAGGCAGCGCCCGGCTGGAGAGAAAACAAAGAGCTGCATGTGCCCGTGCGGGCCCCCGGCACTCGGGGCGACCGCCCGGGCTGAGGGCCGTGCGGGTCGGGGGCCCCCGAAGTTCGGGCGAGTTTCGGGAGGGGCTTTTGTCCCTCGGCCCCTCGTGGGGAAACTTTGGCGGCGCTGCTAGCGCGAGGTGCCATGCTGCGGCGCGGGGAAGCGGTGTGCTCCGCTGCTCCGCCGGGCAGACGGGGGAGGGAGGCGGCGGTGTCCGGACCCCCGGCGCTCCAGCAGCAGGCGCCGGGGCCCGCGACGGCTGAGGGGTCCGGAGAAGGCGGCCAGGACTTCCCAGCCCGTTACCCGTGGCCCGGGAGCCTGTGTCTGGGAGGTCTGTGGATTCCCCTTTGAAGTCGAACTGTTGCCATGTTTGAATTACGTCAGGGCAAAGCCATGAGGAGGAACAAGCCCCGGCAGCGCGGCGTGCGGGAGGCGCGGCCTGCGGGAGGCGCCGGGCCGGGCGGGCGCGGGGCCCGTTGTTCCGGTGCAGGTGAGAGGCGACGGGGAGGTCCCCTGGAGAGTCGCCCTCCACGGGGGAACTTTCCTCCCGACCCGAGATGTCTTATTTACCAACAGATCCGCCAGGGAGCATTGCTGTGTTTGTGGGTTCGGTGTCTGTCTCGGCGGTCACTCCGTGCCCAAAGGGAGAGGCGCAGTTTGGGGGTGGGGGGCGTGGGAGGACCTGGGAGGCATTTCGCTGCTTTCGGGGAAACAGATTACTGCCGCGAGTGCCTCCTCCCCCGCCGAGTTGTGGCCTGCAAGTCCAGGGGATCCAGCCCCGACGACACGCGAAAAACCACCTTGGGGAAGTTTGGGGCTCCCTGTTGTCCTAAGGGAAGTGAAGACTGTGGGTGAATCGTGCGTGCGGCGTTTCTTTGTGTGTTTACGCGTGGGAGGAGCGGCTGGGAGGGGCAAGGTTTGTTTTGGTGGAGGGGAGGGTTGGTTTCTCGGGGTGGTAGGGCGGTGCAGAGTTTGTTCTGGTAACTATGACCCCAGTCAGTTTTCTTTGTTTTTACTTTCTCCCTCCAACCTTCCATTACCACAGGCACGTAGAAGATTAGGAATTACTGTTTGGCCAAACAGGGACGGTATTCTAGACTGTTTCCCCTCAGCAATCCTGCCTCCCCACTTCTTACATTGTCCTAAGGAGGGTTAAGAAAAGTTTTTTCCTTTTTCTTTTAATAATTAAAAAAATGGATTTGACTTTGTCATTAAAAGTACACTGAAAGCACCTGTTTTTGAACTGGAGTTTGCCAGAGCTGAAAAGCCTTTTAATAATTCATGTTGCAAAACTGAACACGTTTAGTTGCCCAATCTAAATTGACTTAAGGTCTGGGAGTTTGCTTCTGGTGGAGTTTCTGAAAAAACCCTGGTAGCATTGAAAGTATTTATATAATGATTTGGGGAAGGGGAATCTTTTCTGGCCGAAAGTTATGCATGACTCAGTGTTTCGTGTTTTTTTCTTGCTTTATCTTAGGATGACCTTGAAGAAGCAAGCATTTAAGGAGTTGAGGCTTTCAGAGAGATATAATAAGGGAGCTGGGGAGGAAACTTATGAGGAAGACTGTACAGGCTAATGGCTAGCTAACCCTGCTAGTCTTCCCAAGTCCTGTGAACTGGGGTTGACCTTCTGGTTACCCCTCCTAGGTTTTCTTTTCAAGCTAACTTTTTTTGTGTGTGTGGCCCCAGGCATAGCTCAAAAATGATGCCGGTTTGACACATGGATGCTTCTTTGGTATTTGGGGTTTGCCTGTAGTCTAGACATCTGATAAGCACCACTGTATCTTTTGCTTTCTCAATTTCTCCTGCTTTTAAATCATACTTATTAGCATCCAAAAGTGGGAAAATAATAATATTCTCAGGTACTCCCCCACTAAGTTGAAATCCATTTTTTCCTTTTCATTGTTTTGTTAAACAAACACATTTATCCCAAGCTTTGGTTGACCAAATTACAAATAGTGAACGGCAACCAAAATTAGTACATTTCTGAAATGAATAGAGCATGTCAGGAAAATGAAAAACTTTGGATTTAATAACTTTAACTTTCCTTTGGGCAATAATTTCTCTGGATCATGCATTTAAATGCATGTTAAGTGTCTTTGTAAATACACTGAAATTCTTATTTTTTCTTGATTTGTTTTATAGTCAAGTTAATGGCTAGGATTTCAGTATCCTGGGAAATTTAAAATACAACAATTGAAATGGTTTTTGTTTTAATAATCAGAAGGTGCCTAAGACAGATTTGATTTATCAGGGTAAATGAGTTGAGGGTGCGAAAGACACAGGAGAGGTACCTATTGCCTTGTCTTTGTATTGTTTTTGTGGGATGTTGGCAGCTTGAAATTAAGTAGGTAGTATGTTCTAGAACCTTGGTAGATTGCAAGCCAAAAGGCTGTCTTTGCCCAGTATTCTTTATTCTGCACATTTGGAACCTGGATGGTCAGGTTTTCTCCCAGAGTTGCTAGTAGGTGCTGGGAAAACTGACTCATGGGGCTCAAACTTGGGTGTATTTATGTCAGAAAATTGATTCGAGGATGATTTTATATGTAAAAATGAAAGCTTTTTGCTGGAGCAACCTTAAACTTATTTGAAACCTAAACCTTACGACTACTATTATTAGGACGAATTAATTTACCATGCCAGGCACATAGTAGGTTGCTTAAAAAAATAATTTTCTTTTTTCTTAAGAGGTGGTGGGAATATAATTGAGAAGAAAACACATCCAGGGACTAGGTTAGTTGTTTAGAGGTTTCTGTGGTTAATAATGCCTAGGTTCCAAAGTTGTGATCATCTTAGATAAGTCACTTTGTGGTTCAGTTTTCCCATCTGTCAAATGGCAATAATAACTATCTTATAGTGTTGTAAACAGTTAAGCAGGTAGTGTGGTTCATAAATAACTGGCTGCTGTTGGCCTCATAACATTGAGAAATAGACATTTTACAGAAGATAAAACTGAGGTATGGGTCAGTTACCTTGCCTAGGGAAGAATTCAGTAAATGTTGAATGGAAAGAATGAGTGTGTTTGGCCCCCTTCCCCACCTTCAGAAACCGGTTCTGGGAAGACGCTGCCCTCAGCTCCTTATTGCCTTTCCAATTCTGATTCAACCATTTTACATCAAAAAGTCCTGTGGAGGCCTAGAAAATGGCATTTTCTTTCTTCCTGATTTCTCTTGTCCACAAGAATGTACAGCGTTACCCACTTAGTTTTGATTTGGGGGGGTTTTCAGTTGAGAATGTTTTGTTGTCTTTTGCTACTTTAGTTTCTCTTTTAATTGAATCTATAACTAAGTTTTTTGTATTGTGGAAAAAATCTGGAAATGCATCTAGTTCAAAAGAAGAGAGTTGGTTTTTAAGGTAAGGAGGTTTTCTTTTTGCTCCAGAAATACCAATTATAGGCACATTTGCTATTCCATATTTAAGTACAAAAGTTACAACTTAACCAAAAAAAAAATTTATTGCTGGCTTTGTATTAGATTCCACCTATTATAAGTTTGATTGGGTTTGCTTTTTTTTTTTTTTTTTTTTGGAGACAGAGTCTCATTATGTCACCCTCGGTAGAGCTCTGTGGCGTCACAGCTCACAGCAACCTCCAACTATTAGGCTTAAGCCAT